ACAAAACAGTTTCACATCTGCAAAAAAAAAAAAAAATTAAATGCCACACAAAGAATGCTCAAATCCCAAACAGAAAGCTATTTGATGTAACAATCTCATTTTTAGTTTTGAATTGGTTGAAGGGGTTAGAGAATTCAGCCTAAGCTTCAGAAGCCTGAATTTCCATCCACACTTAACTTTAAGATTAGGCCAGCTTAATATTTAGGGTTATTGGTGGAAAGATAAAAGATTGCGGGGAGAAGATCTATATACTACCCTGACCTTCTAGAACAGGGGTATCAAACTCGCAACATCACATGACATGTCATGACATATCGTGACTTTTTTTCCATTGCCGGCAATGGGGTGGGCTCGGTTTTGGCATGACGCATCCGGCCCGTGGGACGGCAGTTTGACACCCCTGTTCTAGAAAAATATTGAACAGTAACAACAATCATGACAGTAAATTAGAAAATAGAAAACAGCATTTTTATAGCTGAAATCTTACTTTGATTACTAGCTTTGATTCAAATTTGGCAAACTGAATAATGGACTTCCTCTGGTTTCCTATTGCAATTTTATTAAAGTTTTAAGAAAAAGATGTCACAAAACTAATATTCTTGAGATTCTTAAAGCAAAAAAAGATAGGTAAATCTAGATATAAGACAGACAACAAAGCTTTTCACAGCATGTCATTCAATCATTTGATAAGTGAAACGTTTCCTCTGTTTCCAATTGGAAATGATAGAATTGGACCTTGTCAAATTCAATTCTGGTTTAGTTACCAACTTTCACTCATCTTCCATGTCAAGCTGGTTGGCTGACTTATATCAAATATGATATGTAAATAATACTCTGTTATGTAAATAACAGAGTTTATTCTTCCCATAGAATAATGTCATTTTCATCAAGGTATCAGGAGCAAAGGAGCAAGACTATATATTAAGTTGCAGTTCAAAGATTTAATTCTCAATCCACACAAGAATCTAGTCAACTAAAGTTCAGTACTAAATTGGCGCCAGATAAGAGTCAACAGAATTGAAGAAGGGTTGGATTTAGACAACTTGTGGCAACATAATGATTCTAAGCTGATAACATGCTTTACCTCACCCCCCAGCTCTGCCTCTCTTCTACAAAAAGTGAGGTGTATTATATTATTTAGTTACTATCTCGTTCAGGCCATACACAATCAAATTACTCATGAAGATCTAACAAACCAAAATTTTCTCAGCTTGATTCTTCAGCAGCATGAAGCAGTTCATATAAGTCACATTTTCAGCACTTTCAGCACTTTCAGCACTTTCAGCAGGAGTCTTATTAAAGGATATGCTTCTGAACATAAGCATATTTCTAAAAGAATGGTGAGTAATTAAGTAGAAAAATATTCCATTAAAAGTACTCATATGTTTTTATTTGATGAAGAATATAAACTTAACTAGCTGTCAGTGAATTCATTGTAACTGAAGTAAAAATTAGATTAAGAAACATGTGAAGATTTTTAAAATGTATCTTCAAGTGAGAGAAGCATAAAAGAAAGATAACAAATTCACTTCTGTCTCTGTGTTTAAGAGAAAGATTTAACTAAAAATAGGCCAGATGATAAACAAATGCAGAAATACTATTAAAGATCTTTCTCCTTATCTCTTATCATTTGCCCTAGTGATCAAAACAGTTCATAGGTACAAAGAAATGATGCAATTTCTCACTTTTTCACCCTGTTCTTGAAATGGGGAATCTTTTGTAAAATATAAACTAAATACTTTGAGTCTTGTTGTTGTTGTTGTTGTTGCTGATGAGACAGTTGCAACCAGTATCATTGTCCCCATATTAGATCCGTGGCATAGAATAGGAACCAATATGCTGCTATTCAAGATTTTCTCTTTTCACATGAAATATATGTGGGAAAATGGTGTTGTCATTTTTGCTGACTGCTGATAAAGTAAAAAAAAATCAGAAAACTTTCATCACTCATCTGTGGCTGAGAATATAGTTGATAATACTAACCCAGCCCAGACACCTTATACATATTACATGATCTATCTTGAGTTGCTAGAGCAGTTTCAGATTAACGGAATGTCATGGTGTAAAACAGTGGTAGACAACCTTTTTCCATTTGAGTATTCCATTTAAATGACATACTAGAGATTATGCTAAAAACTGAGATGACTGGGTCAAAACCTATTTGTCATTAAATTAATACCATTAACATAGTTACTCCACTAGTATCAAATTAAAAGTTAGTACCACATTGCAGAAGGGCTTTGGGAAATTCACGTGATGCTCCATAACTAGCACAGATTATTTATCAGTTGGCTATCTGCCAACTGATCAGCCATTTTGGTCTTCATTTTAAATGCCAACAAACCTTTTCTCATGACCTATCTCATTTCACCTTGTCACAGGAGACTAGAATCCAATGAGTTATTGTAACTCCAGAAGATACACACCCTTGTTAGTCCATTGCAGCAGAAACAAAGGGGTATTCTTCACAGCAGATTAAAAGTGCAATTACTAGTTCTTGAACTGGCAAATCATTTGTTGCCCGTTGCCAATCTTTATCCTTCAATAAGCACAATACTCTCAAATGGTGTTATCCTTATTTATTGTCCATAAAGAACTGAAAACAGGCTTATTGCACTTCCCATAAGAGTATTAAACCCTTGTTTCAAAGTAATCTGAAAACAGCTGACAAGTATGGGTAATGTTATGCAATGAAATGGTAAAGCTCTGTCTTCCTCACTCCAGCTTCTCTGAAGAACAATTTGAAATGTCTAGACTCCCCTGCTGATCAGAGCAGAATTCCTATCCTTGGACTGGAGAGAAGGGACGTGTTCATCCTAGCCTGAGTGGCCAATAATTGTCAGGCTAATCTCACATTATTGAATCACCTGGCTACAACTCCAACAAAATTGCCAGATTATACCCATGGTAAAGTTACCCTGGTGGTTAAATACAAAAACTGTTAATCCTAGGAATACGTTGGGGACAAAATGAAGACCACATCAGAGAGACACTGATGAAATAAAGGTTTCTGGAATATAACTGTGTCATGGTTAGTGTGAGTAGAGAAAGCCTAGAGAGACTTGTAGCTGTAGCAATTTAAAGATTAACACACTAATAGTGTTTCCACAGATTCCTATCTTTCAGCAGGACTGAAGCTTAGTTCCAATCTTTCCTCCCCTGCCGGTCTCTCTCTTTTGCATGGATTGTTCTCTACTTGTTTTCACAAAAGCTGTTTTGTTGTAGCTCCTGACAAGCATCACATACCCAGCTTCATAGTTTCCTAATAACCTCATACATCAAACCAGAGGAGTCTGCGAGGCTCATGTAATAAAAGTGCACAGTTTATATGCTGAATATCATTATCAAAAGTCCCCTTTTGATATTCCCTTGATATGCAAAAATGCACAGGTTCCCTGGAGTCCCCAGCACAGAAAATGTATCAACAAAATCAACATTTGTTATTTTCTAGGACTTGAGGCATAATATATATGGGAGGAGAAAACAGAATGAGTTTATCCAAACATTTCATAAATTGTTCCAGTTACGGAAAGAAGGAAATGGAGGACATCTCATGGCAAAGAAATGAAGCACAACTATATGAAACAGAAAAATAATGAACCTATAGACTGGGGAAGGGGGGAAAGAATAAAAAAAAAAAGTTCAGCCTTGATTGGCGAAAGCAGTTATAATTGTATTGATTCCAGTGAATATATTATCATTCCTTAGTTAATCATAGATAATTTTACTGCAGGTTAGGTGAATTAAGCTGATAATGTTTCCAAATAAATAAATAAATTTAATTTCCAAGTTCTGTTACAGGATAAAGGAGACAAACCTCAAGTTTCTCTCCCACCCCAGTATGTGGACAAGAAGCATTTGTTGGTAAAAGGAACTGAAGTTTTCTTTTTTTTTTTTCAAAAAAGCTAGTATAAGAATGAAATATTTGTTTTTCTATTAATAGTATCCCAAATTATTGCCTGGATATTGGGTTCCAATAATAGAGACTAAACAGATGTCCTGGAGATAATAGTTTATCTTTTGATGCTGATGATACCTAGTTTGGGTAATGAAACATCTACAAAAAAACAACCAAGCTCAGAGAGCATCAATGACCCCACATTTCAACTCTGAGCTACAAATATTTTCCTTTTCTTTTATTTAGATTTTCTCCATATTTAACTAATGTACATAAAGCTACTATTTGGCTAAACCTCATCCTGGGAATTTCCATATTAGGTGATCTTTCAAGCCTCAGATTTTTCAATACATTTTCAGAACACCATCAGGGGGTAAGCTATCCTAAGCTGTTTTTTTCAAAAGGCTCCTTCTGTCCTTCCTAGTATTTGCAGAATGTGTGAAGGAAAAGGGGGAATTGTGATATACATCTGTATGTCCATCTACAGTATTAAGCATAAAGAGAAAGGGAGCATTGGAGCTTCCAGTGTGAAAGGAGTAGCCAAGAAAAGCAACCTCTTTGTGGATTTGTGTGCTCAGGAAATTGGGAGGGCCTCTGAGAAAGCTTCCTCAGAGTGATTTTGCTTATTCTCTTATCTGCTAAACCGGTGTTTGAATTATTCAGGATAGGAAGTCCTTAACAAAATCTTCAAATACACACATACACACATCTCATTTTAACCATGTGATTATCTTTTCTCTAAACCAGTGTTTCTCAACTTTGACAACTTTAAGCTGTATGGACTTCAACTCCCAGAATTCCACAGCCAGCTCTGGGAGTTGTAGTCCATACAGCTTAAAGTTGCCAAAGTTGCCACAGTTGAGAAACACTGCTCTAAACCATAACTAAGGAGATATGAGAGAGTTAAAGGATTAGGCTCACTCTGATTTTGATGCTAAATAAATTTAATTATCTTTCCAAAATAGCAGTTGCAGAGATTAGTTATCTCCTTTAAAGGATCACTCAAAGGGACACATATACCACGAATAATGACAGGCAGCATGAAGCCCACAAGTATGGCATCAAGTCTCTATCATATCAGCTTCAGACTCCATGCAATTTATTATTCTGCAATATGGCGGAAGGACTGGACCAGTGGGGTTATAGCCCCCCACTCCATGGGTTTACTATAATCCCCTCTCTCCAGGAAATACTGCTTGCCACGGAAGTTGGGATGGTCATAGAAAACCCATGCCCCATCCAGAACTTTGCAAGAATGGATTTCTGGCAGGTGAAACTTCTCCATCACAGAAGGGCAATCCTCTGTAGATTCATGCATTTGACCACTAAAGTCACCCTTCTCAAAAAACTGGATCTGATATTTGTCTCCACCAGTCTGCAATGAAGAGAGAGAACATAAAGATTACTAAAGAGTTGAACACAAACCTTTCTGCCTCCTCTTAAAATGTGGTATAAAATGGAGAATATACATTATCACAAATAATACCTTGTAGTTGGACATAAATACATTACACCATTGACTGAATACATTTATTCATTATATTTTACAAAAATTATAATTTCAGGAATATTTCTGCCATATATTACAATGTGATAGTCAAGAAAAGTTTATCACCAATGGCAAGTGTTGTAAAACTACATTGTAATTAACTGCAAGTGGCCTCTATTTTTTCTGTCACAGTGGAACCTATAGAATCATTTTCACTACAACAAAACTAGAGTGTATCCTATTGGGGAAAGCTAGTCTAAGATGTATTTCATTCTCAGGGCTATGTTGTAATACCTCTGTATTATTAACTTATCAGAATCTCAAATACAGCAATATCCTAACAGATGAAAAGTTTGACGGAACTCAAAATTTACACAAACTTTTGGTGTGGTAGAGTTAATATACACTGAACCTTTGTCCTCTGACAGTATATACAAGCTATCATCATGCGTTTTTATTGTTTAATTGGTAAGAAGACAACATTGTTTATTCAAGGGTCTCAGAAAAATGTATTGATCTAACTAGATCTACATCTACATATATCTACTACTGTCTTATAAGAAGTAAATAAGTGAACAGTGAAGTAATAGGTATACACACAGACACATATTAGATCCTCAGTATTATGAGCCTCAATTTAGTAGACTTCAGTTGTAATGGATATAGTTTTTAAGTAATAGTGGACTTTGTCCATATCTGCCCATATTTCCCTTTAAAAAATTTTCCCACACTATAGAAAAACATGCATCAAATGCGAACTATACACTTTGTAATTTTAGGGAGGTAAGCATACAGAAATAGCATGTTTCCCAGACTCAGTTAAAATTGGACACTTTCTTCAAACTAATTACCCATCCAATCAAAATCCAGAACGTCTTCATGTGGCTATCATTAAAGTAGATTTTCTAATGTAAAGTACAGGTGTGTGTTCTTGACCTCAAAAATCCCAATAATCATTTGGCAGACTATTGATTTAGTGGAAATCCCTTTCTTGCCATTAGTTTACTAAATCAAGAGGGAGGAACTCCTTGGTTTTGGGAGAATTCCTATACTTTTCATATATATGTTCTGGAAATCTGTAAAATGTAGTTATTTTGTTTCTCTTTTCTTCACTTTTTTTACTTTTTAAAAATCTCTTACTTTTAATTTTCTCATTCAATATTTTATTTTTTTCTTAAGTTTGTTCTTTTTGTTTCATTCATGCTCAAATACAACTTTCTTTTCTATGCTGACTCAGGAATTCTGGGAGTTGAAGTCCATGAGTCATAAAAGAGCTGAGGTTGCCTACCCCTGGTCTAGTGGCACCAGGCTAGAAAGCAGGAAAATGTGAGTTCAAGTCCTGCCTTAGCCATGAAAGCCAGCTGGGTGACTTTGGGTCAGTTACTTTCTTTCAATCCAATCTATTTCACAGGGTTGTTGTGAGGAAAATAGGAGGAAGGAGTATTAGGTATGTTTACTGCCATGAGCTATTTGTAAAAAATAATAAAGGTGAGATACAAATAAATAAATAATTTAAAAATCTCTCAGCCAAGATTATTACAAATAGAAGTTCTTTCTTTATCTAATAAGATGTTTTGTGTAACTTCTAAAGCAGGGCTTTTCAACCAGTGGTACAGGTACCACCTGTGGTACATTGGCACCTGGCAAGTGGTACATGACCATCCTAGAAAATTGGTAGCGGGGAAGGGGAATGAGCTGAACCGGTGGCAGCATCGCACAAGCCTGAGCAAGAGATGGCTGGAACTGCAGGGCTGTCAGGGCTCAGCGGAAGCGCCAGGATCAGTGCTGCTTTCCAGTTGATTGGGGCTGTCAGGGCTCAGTAAAAACGGCAGGCTCCAGCTGGAGCTCGGCACTGATCCTGGCGCTTCTGCTGAGCCCAGAAGAAGAGCCGATCAGCTGGAATGTTGCAGCATCTCCAGGGTCTTGTGATTTACATTCAGATGCTTGGCAACTGATTCATATTTATGATGGTCACAGTGTCCCAAGGTCATGTGAAGTGACCAAAACCTGCTGCAACCACCCAGCAGACGGGGGGAATAAAAACCAAACACCCCCCCCACCCCACCCCAGTTGCCAATCCTCAACAGAAATGCTCACAACAATGAAAACCTCGGACAGGAGGAAGAGCGCCGCCGGGCGCTGTCTTGCTCGGCTGTGCTTGGGGGGCACTTTTTTCAGTGCCACTGTAACTTCAAACAGTCACTAAGTGAACTGTTGTAAGTCGAGGACTACCTGTACTTTATCACTTTTTTCCTTTTTTTGGGGGGGGGGTCATCAAGTTTTTGACACCTTGCTAGGCGACTGGTGGTACTCGGATATTGCCATATCCTAAAAGTGGTACAATGGGTGAAAAGGTTGAAAAGTCCTGTTCTAAAGGATGTCCTTCACTTGGAAATATTGACCTGTCAGGCAATTGAAGGACATTCTGAATATAAAAGCAGCTAGTGCTAAAAATAAATTATTGTGTTTTAATGATATGTTATAAATTGTGTATAATTGCAACTTTTCTATGTCAAAATGTGTGCATGTGTAAGTGTGTGTGTGTGTATATATATATACACTCATAAGTGTATAGGTTGTGTAGCTATATAGACATACCTGTTTTATATTGGATTATTCTAAGGCAGTGTTTCTCAACCTTGACAATTTTAAGGCATGTGGACTTCAACTAACAGAATTCCACAGCCAGAAGTCCACATGCCTTAAAATTGACAAGGTTGAGAAACACTGTCTAAGGCTTTCCTCTTTCTCAGGATTCAGTGATCTTTTCTCCTCACTTGTAAGGTCATTGCCCCCTCCCCCCTCCCCCGGCTCTTCCAAGACCATGTCTATATTCTTTCACAGGCAGCTTACTGGAAGTGAACTAAAGTAAGAAGAACCATATTTTTTAAAAGGAAAGAGTGTTTCTCTGAAGGGGGAAAAAAACTTATTCTACTCACCAACTGAATGGATTTGCAAGAGCTGACTCTATCATTCAGGCCCATCCAGCAATGATATTCAGGATATTCTCCATGGGTCAAAATATACATGTTTCCCGCAAAGTTTGGCTGCTCATAAACAACCCAGGCACCATTTTCTACACGGATGGAATTGCAACGGCTCAAGTCAGTGTGGAAATCCAAACAATCCCTATCAGACTCATAGCGGCATCCTTGGAAATTCTTGCCTTCATAGAAAGTAATCTGAAACATAAGAAAAGGAGAGAAAAATAAGTTTCTGCAAAACTAGACTTTGTCTGAACTCTGTAGCAGATTAGCACTATTCAGAGCAATTCTTGACTCTAATTATTAATGGGAGTTGCACCCAAGCGTGTACTGTCCCTTTTACTGGTCAGTGCTTTGGATAACTAAAGGCCAAAGTTGCTGATAATATCCAATTATATATTTTGATCCCAGGCATTAAACCTACAGTATAAGGCCGTGGTGGCGAACCTATGGCACGCGTGCCACAGGTGGCATGCAGAGCCCTCTCTGTGGGCACGCCCACCATCACCCCAGTCCTAGGCCTTCAGCTGGATTTTATAAAACCTTTTCGCTTTAGGCCTCCGCCGTGTGCAAAAAAAAAAAAAAGGTTCAATCAATCAATTTCAACTTCTCACGGGAAAAAAAAGATCTTGCAAAGTTGGAATTGATTGATTGAACTTTTTAGTCCCGCCCAGTCTATTACCACTGAAGCCATGCCCACCCAAAGGGCCACGCCCACCCAGTGGGCCACGCCCACCTGGCACCCGACAATACATAAGTGGGTTTTGGGTTGCAGTTTAGGCACTCGGTCTCTAAAAGGTTCGCCATCACTGGTATAAGAAAATATATGTTAAGTTTATTTTGGTGTTTAAAATAGAAAAACATCCCAAACCACTGATTTGTAAATGCCAAAGTAATGCCTAAGCTAACAGAATCTTTTCTTTTTATGAAAAGATACAACTGGCATGGGACATGCTGATTATCCCCAAATATAGTAATCAAAAGATTCATTATGGCATCAACTCATTGCAGCAACATCCAATTTTGATGAAATGATTGACAGGACTTCTGAATGAATAGCTATTAGCACTAGCAAAACAAGACATGATTCTCTCTTTCTCTTCTTTGAGTCTTTTCTACAGAATACAGTTTTACAGATCTCAGCTTTGGTAGTATAAAAATGCCTTGTTCTGACACTTTGCCACTGCATGTTTTGGAACTGCCTGGCATTTTGCAGTATGAAGAACAGTAATATGCAATATTTCAATTACAGCTTGGAGACAAAATAAGGCCAATATCATAGGAACAGAGGGTAAAATTGGGTTGCAAGGTTGTTTGGGGTAATGTTTTTAATAGCTCTCCATTGGTTGTCTTTGATTTGGGTAAGAAAGTAGTCTAATATAATGATTCAGGTTAAGGATTGGGACCAGAGAGACATAGTTTAAGCTTCAGTGAGTTCACTGGGTGTCTGTTGTTAACAGGATAAAATGAAAAAAAAATATTCATGTACAACACTCAATCTTCCAGAAGAACGCAAGACATAGATGTGATATATTATTGCTATTGTGGGTATTGTTACTATTTTTACTATACAGGAAGATTATAAATGGAAAATAATTTCTGGAGCTTTTAAGACTTTATAGCTCTAAATTAATATCTGTCACATCTATTTCCTTCTTTTTCATACCTTTAGCACCAAACTGAGGACATTGACAGAAAAGAATTTTTGTAGCTCAGGGTTGAACTGTGGGTCCTTGATGCTCTCTGGGAGCACCAAGGATCCCACAATCTGAGGACAGATATATTTTATCCTTTTAATCCAATTCATGTTCTTTTCTTCATCCAACTGTACACAAGAGATATGTAGATTCAAATGATTTTTTAGTATCTGGAGTATAAATAGGGAACTCCATGTTACCCCGAGAATCTGCTCCATCCAGACTTATATTAAAATCAAATAGTATAAACATAAGGAAGACCTCTTCAAGTCCCCAACTAGGTGTCCCCTTTGAAGCAGTGAATCAAGGTTTTAAAAAGCATAGAAATAGCTTAAATAAAAGCTGCACATAAAATGGTATGGGCAAGGGGTCTAACTGCTCATATATTCATTTCTCACTAAAAAAGCTAGAACCTGCACCAGTTACAGGAACAAACATTTTCTCTCAGCAATATTCCTGACAAAATTTATCTCCTGATTTTGTCCAGGAACTATTTATTTAAAATCAAAAGTTTACAAATAACCAGAATTTATTACTTTACATTTCAGATGAGGGAAGTCTTTACTTCGATTAACGTTCCATCTAAACTGGCCCTTTAAGAATGTTAAAGTGTTTTGTCCTTTTTAAATTTAAAAAAAGAAAACATAAACCATTTTGGGAGAGAAGAGGAGGGATTAGCCCTTCAGAAGTTTGCACAGAGACACAGAGAGAGCTGTTTTTCCAATAAAAAGGGCAAAAATCCAAGCTGCCATTTGCCCTTGGGCTAAAATATTTGTTGATGCAAATACATCTGAGTGGGAATTTTCACTAAAAAAAAATGATCCAAGGGGAAAAGGAATAGTACTCGGTGAAGTTTTGCACTAATTGCTTCACAGGTTGTATTGGAGAAAATACAATAGTCGTGAATGTAGAATATGGGAAACTGTTAGCATTTCCACAGGGATAAAATACAACTAATGAACTACATGAACAACAGACACAGAATACAAACTCAGGGGAAGATATTGGGATCACACATAAATGGGTATTAAAAAAACATTATCGCAGCACTATCACATCAAATGTAAATGCCTAGTTTAGAAAATGAGAAATTGTTCAGATGTAGAAGACACAATAACTTTATGCAAAGTCCCCCTGAATTTTGCCTGTGCACTACAATGTCTCACATGATACAGATCTGTTAGAAGATCTGGGGATTTTGTGTTTGAAAAGCTCCTTCCTGTAAATGACAGTTTGTCTGTGCATATTTTGAAAAGCTTTCTACTTATGTATCAGAATGATAGTTAAACTTCAACCTCTTTGGGGCACCTTATTTAAAGCAAACACGGGAAAGCATTCAACTAGGTACTTCTCTATTCCAGATTGAGTGATGCAATTTCAAATAAACACCTTCAGTTAATTGCTCAGAGTATATTCTTTTTATAAGTTTAAGTAAGCCATTCTCAAGAAACTGTTATGGAGTAGTTTTTGTAAATCATCCCCAAAATCCAAAACGCCAAGGAAATCTTCCTTCTTTTTTTTTCATTGACTAACATGAAGGAAATGATATCTGTTCCTGGGTGGGACTGCAGATTAAAGTGATTGTCTGGCTAGATTTACCATTGTAACTTATACGAATATTTGAATGGAACAGCTGGAAATACTTGTTCTCTGCATGAAACATGCTTTATCAAGATGAGGCACATCTTCTCTGCAATATTACTGGTCCTAATGCAAGACTAAATCTTCATTTCAAGATCACCCCGGTAAGTATCAAAATTTCTATATCTTTTCTTATCATCCATAGAATGAAGCAAACACACATTTAAAAAAAGTAAGTTGTTATCTAATACTTTCAATGATTCCACCTTCAAATACGGACAGACCTTAATTTGACAGAATAGTTGCTGTTTCGATGAAAGCTAGAAAAATCCACTAAGAGTTTCAGGCATTCATTTATTTCCTAACAATTTGCTTTCTAACAAAAGATGGGAAATCTTCCTCTTCTGCTTTTTATCTCAGTTCTGCCAAGCTCACCAACAGATTGTATCTTGAGATGCCATCTTTTTACAAACAAAAGGACAAAGAAAGATATCCTTCAACTGAAACCACAACTTACCCTGTTTCCAGTTTTAAACATGATCAATGTTGGGTGCAATATTCCTAAAGAAAAGAGACTGGAAGTAACTGCAAGAGCTCAAACCAGGAAGCCTCATTTTATAATGGGCTCATTTTTTAGGATAAATGTTTGCTTTGTCATGAAAATGGGATTCCAAACTTGACTCAGTGATTCTGGGGCTATTCAGAAGTTCTAGAAAAACAAAGAGGATTATAAAACAAAAGCAAGCCTCGCTGCTTCATTTCTCCCTTTATTTTTCCTCATTCTAATGCATTAGGCTTGTGAATGCATTGCTGAGTCAGAACTCCAAACTCTTGTCAAAAATACTCAAAATAAAAAGTGCTTGCAGCTCCTATTGAGTGATGGCAACAGTTCCCCTGTTTTGATTACATATAATGATGGATTCGATTAAAGGAAGCCTCAGTGGACCATAATGCCTGAAAATATGGGAACCATGCATGGATGAGGAATGTAGCCTGGTGAGCTATTATTCTATGGATAAATAGTTTTAACTGAAGTAATACACTTGCCATTGAGTAAAGTAATGTGTCTCCCTAGCTTTTGCATTTTAATGCATTTATTTGCAGACTTCCAAGGAAAAGGCTGCAAATGGTTCTGATCTTTTTTGTAGGTTTAGCTAACTAAAATATTTCTTGAATAATGCATAAAAATACTGCTTATAGCTAGTAGTTTCTATATAGACTTGAGAATATAGACTTAAGAATGCGGCCGCGCGGGCGGTGTTGGGAGGGACTCGTCGCTCCCATGTAACGCCGCTGCTGCGCGAGCTGCACTGGTTGCCGGTGGCCTTCCGGGTGCGCTTCAAGGTGTTGGTTCTCATCTTTAAAGCGCTCCATGGCATCGGACCTGGATATCTCCGAGACCGCCTTCTGCCGCAGGTTACCTCCCATCGGCCGGTNTAGGGAATTTTAGCGGGGTTTTTTAGGGGATTTTTAAGGACAATTTTAATGATCGGCCTGTTTAAATATTTCTTTTTAATTCGGCTTTTAATTATTGTATTTGTATTGTAGTTTTTATGAGGCTGTTAGCCGCCCTGAGTCCCATGAGGAGAAGGGCGGGGTATAAATTAAATTAATAAATAAATAAATAAAATAAATACATTCCATTTTGAGAAAATACAGGTAACTTTCATTTAGTGACCAAAATTAGGGCCAGAAATTCAACCACTAAATGAAATCATTGCTAACTGCAACTGCAACTGTGCTTACAATCTTTCTTCAGGGGTTTTGTTGTTGTTGTTGTTCTACCAAACTGCAAAGGTCATAAATATAACGAGTAGTCACATAGTTTACTTTTTTATCACTGTCATAACTGGAAATAGTTACAAAACAAGGCAGTTCTTAAATAAGAACTACTTGTATATATAAAACTAATATTATATAGTTTTGGGTATTGGTCACAGAATATTTTCAAACCTGCCGTTGTTTAATCTAAAATTCTATAAGCAAAGATTTCAGTATGAGTGTCTTAGGATACTGCTTCATAGGATTTGACCAAGGACAATAGGTGGACATTATTCTAGAAATGTTCAGCAGAATCCAGGATAGTACAAGAAGGCATGGAGACAGTGGACAAGGTTCATCTTTCTTTCCCTCAACTCACTAGGAAAAGGTAGGAGTAAGCCTTAAAATAACAAAACCCAAGTTTTACCTGCACCATTCTATGCAAACTAGGATATCTAACCTAGAGATTAGGATAGAATATCTGGGAGCTGCTTTCATGTCCCTGGCAGGAGCTGGAGCGAAGCACAGGAGCTCATTCTGCCCCACGGCAGCACTCAGTTTTCAAACACGGGCTTGCTAATCTCCAAACCAGTGTCCTAACCATGCGAGCCACATACTCCTACAAGAAGACAACTGAGGGAAAATATATATAACAGTGATGGCAAACCTTTTAGAGACCAAATGCCCAAAAACTGGCCCTACCCCTGCCCCAAAAACTCCACCCCTACCCCGCCCCCACCTCGCCTGCCCGCAGGGCCACTCACCACCTGCAGGGCCCACCGCAGATCGCCCAGCAGCACCATGGCGGCCACGCCGTCTGCCCGCACCCCGCAGCATCAACTGTGCGCAATGGGGCGTGAGGGCAGAATCTTGTCTACGCTGTCTGGCTGCCATGTCCTTGGCTGCACTGCTCTTCGTGGGCCACGCTCGGGGGCGACTCTCCTCCAGGGGGTCTGTTGGTGAGGAGGGGGTCGCAGGGGGAAGGCAAGGCTGGGGCAACAGCACGTGTACCCACAGAGAGGGCTCTGAGTGCCGCCTCTGGCACCCGTGCCATAGGTTCGCCACCACTGATATATAAAATCATACAAATATGAAATCATGCTTAGCAGGTAGCGAAAGCAGGTTCTTCCCATTCTAATACACAAGGACTACAAGCCATCTAATGCAGGTGTTTGGAAGGAGATTTAGAACAAACAAAAAGAAAACACTTCCTACATGATGCATAATTAACTTGTGGAATAAGTCACATAAGTTACACATAGACAAAAAAGCAGGATGGTTGTTAACTTCAATGGCTCTAAAGAGAGATTAGAAAAATGCATTGAGTACAACAATTTGATAAAGATATAGGTCTTGAAGATTCAGTATTACTTGTGGGTCGAGTTCATACCTTTTCAAGGGGGAGTTTCAGGAGAACATCAGTGGGAGTATCTTTCCTTTGTCTGCTTGTGAACACTGAAGAAGCATTTCAAAAAAACCAGCCCTCCTCCCCTCACAGAAATAGTTCTTCTTTTCTACTGTGAAACTCCCATATGCCAGCTTCAATAGCTGACCTAAAATTTTAGTGTTTCAAAAATTGGGAAAAAAAATATCCCTAGATCTGCCTACTTCTTTCAAAAAGGAAGAAACAGCAACTTAGTAATATTAAGAGTTGACCACTGAAATCAGATTAGTTTTGATTGGTTAGTTATGACTAACTTAAATCTGTACAGTTCAATGGGCCTACTTTAAGCCTGAATTCAATCCATAGTATCCAAGACCCTTTTCCCAAAATACTGTATATGGATGTTAATAAGTATTATTACATCATTAAATCTGAAAAAAGAAAACAAGGCACAAAATATCATTGTGTCAATTTAATTAAATTTCATACTATAAGTGCTAAACAACTGATATAAATTCTGTCTAGAAACATTAATATAAGCAATATTTAATTAATAACAGAAAAATCATTCGCCCAGCAGTCAGACCACTACCACTATCTTTACATCAAGAAAGTAACACCTTTTCCTGCACATTTAAGTATGCTAGGAATCTACATTTTGTTCTCAAATATACAATGAAGTGTTAATAGCAAGATCCTCCTATAAAGATCCAGAGTAACTGATGATATCATATAGCTTGAAATATGCAGTAAAGTCCATTTCCTTCTTGATAATGCCATTAAGTAAATTTATGTTTCTAAACTTCAAGTTGGCCCCAGTCTATTTTGATGGAAATACTTTTCACTTGGCACAGTGCATCTCCAGAACTATAACAAAACAAAGAGAGTTAAATTGTTAAATCTGCAGTCTCATCACATTCCAATCACATGGTAGTAGCAGTTTATTTGATAGTTTCAATCACAAATACATAACACATAACACTAATAACAACAACGACAATAATAGCAACAACAATAGGATGCCATTTCAGATGCCTGGCAAGACTGAGTGGTTCTAGGTTTCGGGGCCTCCTAGTTTTAATACTATGCCATCTTTGGTGCTGAATAAGTTGCATTGTCCCAAACTGATAGGTGCACAATCTGGGAATCCTCCTGTACTTGTGGCAGTCATGCTAGGAGGGTCTTTGCACAGCTACATGTTGTGTGCCAGTTGTATCCATCCCTGGACCGGATCACTCTGTTCATAGTCACTCATGCCCTACTCATCTTCCAATGAGCTACCGTAATGAATTCTAGATGGGACTGCCCTTGAAGAATATCTGAAAGCTTCACCTAGTGCAGAAAGCGCAACACAGGCAGTTATATGTGCCTCTAGAAAAGCACAGTACACCTCTGCTCCATGGCTGTATTGGTTCAGAGTTTTGACATGGGGCAGTTTATCTGAGAATCCACCTCTTCCCAACTACATCTACCCATCCCATCAGATTTGGCAGAGAAGACATGTTGCAACAGCACTTGGCAGCAAGTCTTCTCTGCTATGGCACCTGCCTTATGGAACATTCTCCCCCTTGAGGATGTTAAGGTTCCAGAAATCACTCAAGACCAGGCTTTGTCACAGAGGAGAGGAGAGATCTTCTTAATAGTAGTTTTATATATAAATTAAACAATAACTGAATGTTAACACTGGAAAGAGACAAAACCCTTAGTCATCAAGATTGCAATAGGCTGAACACAATGATAAAAGAATGATACTAGGACAGTCTGTAAGCCAGAAACAGAGAGTATAACAAATGAGATACAGAAATTGCTTAAGTAAGATTTCGCTTAGTGATATAGTTTGACAGAAAAAACAATAGACCATAATTTATTTTAATTCTGAAATGTCCATATTTAATAGAAAATAGAAAAATATTATATTTAATGTGATGATGATGATAATAACATCACACATTTTATTCAGTATAAGAAAAAGTAAGTCAGCATTTAAAAAAATCCTAAGTGGTAATAAGGTATTTGTAATCAATGTAATCTTTAATTGGTAGAATTTTTTAAAAGCTACAATTAGAGATTAGATTATAAAGTCTTACAATGCCAAATATAAGCTATACTTTCTATGAGAACATTCCTCACTTATATCACCAACTTTCAACCTAACTTACCAAGCACTAATTGTTTGTATTATATTAAAATACAATAAAAAGTTTGTATGTGTGCAATATAAATGTGACCTTTGAACTCACCTGATGATTTGTTTGCTTTGAGAGTTCTCCTATCCTGCTGCCTGTTTAGATCCTGCAGCAGGAAGTACCAAGCTATCAAGCTGTTGACGGCTCCCTGTGTGGACTAGCCATTCATAGAATTTGTTCTCCACTAACATCTGGAATGTCTTCTTCTGATTCCTGAAAGCAGAAACAGGATTAGCTCTGTACTGTATACATTTGTGTAAATATTCCTATCGCTAGGTCTTTAAAGTCAACATCCACACTGCCCAAATGTTTTTATCATTATTAAGTGGTTTAACTTATTGTGCTATGGTTGAGTTTTTTATAACATATAAAATTTTTCTAAGATTTTTATAATATTAAAATAAAACAGAATCATTTAAATCTATATAAAAACTTACAATCAAGAAAATATTTCAAAAATGCTTCTGCAAGTTATTGTGCTGTAACAGTTATAGTACTGGACTACAAATGAGGAGAGTCAAGTTCTAGTCCATGGAATATAAGTCTAACAAATCAGTAAACAGTGTTCCATTAATTTTTTCACACCTAGTGGCAATGTCATAAAACTCAAAACTCTAAGAAATGAATCACCGTAGAATGAAACAAAATTTTAAAATCAAGTTTTTTTATTAAGCATTACTAAGCATTATATTCCTACAAAATACACACAGCTGGGTCTGTCCATTATGATAGTTGCTAAAACAGATGAAATTTGGGTGTAAAACTTGTAAAAACAGATTAATAAAAGGTCGTGGTTGTCCTTAAGACTACAAGTTAAGGGAAAAGCAAAACAATATTCACACAACAAATTTTAATTATTAATTTATCTTGAGTTCTCCCCTGTCTCATAGCTGACAAAGTGAGAAAGAACCTGTGGCCTAGAGGTTAATAGATCTGCTTAACATGCAGACAGCCCAGGTTCGAATCTCAGAAGGGTATGTCTGGTTGAAAAGAACTAAAAAGTTTGAAATGGCTATTCCAGTTCTCCCTTAATTCTTTGTTAGCAATCCAAATTTTGAAAAATTATTAATTTGTATTAATATTGATGCATTTAATTATAAAGCCATTACAACACCTGACTCTTATTTCCTGGAAAATTAACTGTTACTTACTTGGTCAGCCCTGTTTCCTTCACTGTTTTCTGCCAGATTCGTATCCTCTGTTCTCGTTGGCTCAGTGCTTTCTGATATGCAGGTGGCAGACCACCAGGTATTTCTGTTGTGTCTCCCTCCATTTCAAATGGAACAACAAAGGGGTAAAATTCTGAAGGTGGGAGAAGTCTGAATACCTCTTTATCACAATTTTCTTTACATACTATCATTGGATTATCCCAGTTGTTAGGCACAGTAGCAAGGCCAGTTCTGCCCATGTGATCCTCAAGCATTGGATAATGGGTATGGAAAGGAGCAAAAGTTATTGCTTGGTTACCCAATAATATAAGAGGTCTAGTTGGAGTGAGAACATGCAAGGTGCAACCAGTCGTAGATGACAGAGACAGATGATGGCAAACAGCAACAAGTCTGACATTGTCACAACTATGGAGATGTACTACAGTTTGCACTGGACCTAGGACAAAGGTGCTATTCCTGCATTTTTCTATGGTTACAGACCTGAAAGAGAGGAAAAACAGCCAATAATAGGAGATGGAAAACAATAAAATGCAATCATGCATGTACTTTTTCTATTAGGTGACAACTGAAAAATAACTTACCTCAGTGGAGATAGTAAATAGATAAAAGATTCACAGCATCGATGAATCTTCACATGAGTATCTTCTAGCGTAACAGAGCTCTTTGCTAATGTTTGCTTGTAAACCTGGCTCATCATAATCAAACGATGAACTGAAGGGACTATGAGAGCATTACAGGCTATTTTAGCTCGTTTAGTTGTTCCTTCAACTGGAAGAATTATGAAAATATTATTTTTTAAAAATAGTTCTACTGAAGCCAAAATCTCTCATTTAGCTGTATCTTACTGTATTTCCCAAAGAAAGAAAACACTTCAATATTCAATATTTACAAATATATTTTAGTCAATTTGGTTGGAATAATTCAAACAGCACGTAATTTTCTTATACAAATTATTAAGATGTTATGCTGTATGTTTGATATTTACATGCAGTGCTCTGAAATCCTCTTTATAACAAAGGCATGGCTTTCTAAATATTTAAACAAAAAACAAACAAAAATTTTCTTCCTGGTATGTTAACATAGCCCTAGCAGTAAGGATTTTTATTATGAAATTAAGCCATAAAACTCAACAATTTATTACCAAATCAAAGGACCTAAAATGTCCTTATGATGTCTATATGTGCACATCTTCCATGCATCCTTAAACTATATTTTCCTTCTTAATGACATTATGGAAATACAGAGCAGTAGTCAAAATACATGTTACATGACTTTGGGACTTCATATAAATATTTATTATCAACTCAGGCAAATATGCATTAGAAGCTAATAATTCACTATTCCAGATCCTGCTTAACTTTGTAAATCTTACAATATTTCCCATTTATAGTCAGAATGCTGTTAAAATGAGAGTGTTATGAATCTGAATTAAGACAGTGTCCAACAAGAACATTTCAAAAAACTAGTATTGTATTGTCAGAAGTCATCCAATGATACAATCTAAAAAGCATTAACAATTCAAAAGGAAATATGAATATATAGAATTTAATACGAATTAATGATGCCATAATGTACAATAGGTATGGAGGTACTTTGGAAGACTCATACGTGCTCTTTGATTCGTATGATTTAGCATCTTGGAACCTACCAAAGTTTTTATCAGAAATGAGTTCAGGTGATTCCTAGCTGGAAATGCTCCACCAACTCCTATATACATTTTAATTAGCATCTTAGCTATATCTCTTCATAAATATGTTTACGTTCCTTAAAGCTTATTATTAAATAAATATTTTAACAACTTTAGGGTGTAAAATTTAACTAAAATATTAAAGCTGGGCAGTCATGATGGAGATGTCCTATCAAGTAGTCAGTAGGAACTCTATGATCAGAAATAATTGTACCTTGTTGTGCCCATGCAAGCTTTCTTCCAGATGTGAGGCAGGCTATTGCCCCAAATGGGTTCCCAGTCAGACAAGTCCTCATCCATGATTCGAATCTGGCACAGGAGAAGGCTTTAGAAAGTTTTGAGAAGCCACTCTTGGCATGCAATGGCTGCCAAAGTGCAAGTTCATGAAGAGGGTGAACAGTCCTATTTTGATCCACACTTCCTTCGATAAGGAAACTAAGAGCTTGAACAGCTTTGGGTGATAGCAGGCTACTGTGCGTAGAATGAGAGGAGGCACTGAGCTGATCTGGGTCCAGTAACAATTCCAGAAGATCCTGGAGATGGTTTTCGATAAAGTCATGGTGGTAGCTGTCATTCCAATTCTTCAAACCAAGCATAAGAACAAATATTAGAAACAAGAATCAATCCACAAAATCACATTTATATACTATCCTCTTGGTTTAAGCCAGTGGTTCTCAACCTTTCTAATGCCGTGACCCCATAATACAGTTCCCCATGTTGTGGTGACCCCCAACCACTTATACATCGCCGGGTGCCAGGGGCGTGGCCAAGTGGGCGTGGCCACCAAGTGGGCGTGGCCACCATGTTGTGTAGGCAGAATCTGCCCAATATTTGCTGAAATACATTGCACTCAGATTTC